GAAAGGTTTCTATGTTTCACTTTTGTATATTCAAATAAAATGTATCTTAATTATTATTAATAAATAAATTACTCGAGCCTAAAATTTATCGAAAGTAACGTTTCTATTTTCGAGAACTAAGACTATATACACACTAAACATATAAATTAATCATAAGATGGAGAAAAATTACTCATCGATTCCTTAAATCATGATAGAATACAATACTCAATAAAAGCACATGTATGATTCAAAAAGAAGAGGCTTTTGAAAAAGTAAAGATATGTCCTATATGTGTGTGGATGCTATTAGGAATTAGATCCTTTTTAACCTAGATAGGATTGGCCATTTACTTTTACATCTTTTCTAATAAATGGTATAGAAAAAATTAGGAGATGTTTGGCTAAGTTTATAAATTGATCAAAATAGTTTATAAGAATAATTTGACTTATTTATATGTTTGATATCAAGAAAATTGAAAAATATGTTCTGTAGGAAAATAAGGACAATGACTTCCTCCTGTAAAAGTTGGAAAATTGCGCATTCTACATTGACTGTCACCTCTCAACCCTCTAACGTTTCATCTTTGATCACCCTACCCTCGTAGCCCCCCTCCCATCACCCATATACTAAAGTTTCAAAGTGATGATATATTGATTGAATTGAGATAATAAGGTGACAACTACAAATGTATGGGGCACAGAATTTCAATGCAACTAGCAAGTCATGATGATGTGTAGTAGTTTATCCTAATAAAAAAAGACACCATATATTCTTGACAATTTGCTTATATAGAGCTTGTTTCTCAACAAACTTTTTACAAATGCAAATTATATTCAAGGTGAGGTTCCAATGTAATCAATCACTGTTCCTCAATTATATTAGGAGAGAATCGACCCTTTAACGTTCGAGAATTTAATGTTTTATGAGTTCCTAATAATTCTAAATTTATTAAAGAAGATTATTAATGTATTACTTTTTTATGTGTCTATGGTGAATTGAACTCTCATTTAAAAGCCCCACTAAGTTTAAGCAATTTTTTTCACTATTGTATCAAGTGATTGTTTTGTTACTGAATCTTTAACGTGTTTCTTATATATTTGATAAAAAAAATTAAATTTTCGATAACCTTCCCTCAATACTCTAGTCTCTAGATTTACCCATGTGTTGATTTCAAGGCAAGCATACATATATCACAAGTATATTTCCACCATCGAATTAAACGATAAAAAGTCTCTTTTCATACAAGATTTTTCTTAATTTTACATTTTTAGTTACTACTTTTTAATTCTCCATATTTATTTTATTCACAATATTAATTAATCAACATTTTACTAACAAAGTTAAAACAAAATGAAAAGAAATTCTTCAAGTGCCTTTAAGTATAAGTGAAAGAAACGTTCACTCGTCGACCTAAGTGATCTGATGATATTGAATGAAAATAATAACAGATAAAGATAAAGTATGGTGATGGACACAATCAATTACGCCTCAATTCGAAGGACCATCCTTCGACCAATGACCACAAAGCCAAGTTACTAGTACTCTTCTTCTTCTTCTTTATTGGCTAAAATTAAACTAGTATACTAATATATAAATGACGTGTGGAATTAACATTTCCATTAAAGTTATAGTAATGAAAAGAATGTGACAAATAAAATAAGTTTTGGGCTTTATTAAGAGTTTCTAAGAAGAAAATAGGACAATATTAATCCAGAGAAAATGACTTCTCAACAGCTCAAGATTGCAACAATTTTATAGCACAATATCTTATGACTAAGTCATAAAATTAAACGTGAATTAAGAACAAAATAATGATGAGCCGGTTATTCCATTCCATAAATAAATCACACCCTTCTCCATTTACTCTATAAACAGAATAAAAAACTTTGTAATTAATGGTATCAAATGAACGAATTAAATTAAATTTGAATTAAAAAAATGAGTTGAATTAATAAATATTAGAATCATTAATTTATTCAAACGTTACTTGAGTTGAGATGAGTTGATAACTCAAATAGGATAAACAATAAGTCATAGATCAATTTGTCTAACTTTTTATTAACATTTTTTTCTTACATATATTTTGACGAAGTTTTTCATATGTTAATTTGGACTACATATTTAGCCCAAACTTGAACTGAAGTCTGAATTAGACGAATCAAAATATGTTGAGGTTATAAAATTAGGGGTTATTAACCTAGCTAATCCAAACTTTACAAGTCATGTTTCATATAAGCTATTTTGACACCCTTATACTTTGCTATATACTCTATTTGTTCCCTTTCAAAACTATAATATATACCCCTTAACAAGAAAATACATGTCATAACCAAACAAGAACAAAAATGAAGCCTCTTTCCTCTCTCATCCTTCCTCTTTCCCTATTTCTCTCCTTATTTTTCCATGGCTCAAAAGGCCAAAATTTAATCCAAAACACTTGTAAATCATGTTCAAAAGATGATCCAAATATTAAGTATGAGTTTTGCACTTCATCTATACAAGCTGCTCCTGCGAGTCAATGTGCTACTCTCCGTGGCCTTGGAATGATTTCGATTAGATTAATTCGATACAATGTTACTGACACGAGGTGTCACGTTAAGATATTATTGAAGGACAAAATATTGGATCCTTATGTTAAGAGTTGTTTGAGTGATTGTTTGGAACTTTATTCAGACGCGATTCCATCTATCAAGCTTGCTATGAAGAGTTATAATTTGAAGAAATATTATGATGCGAATATACAAATAAGTTCAGTTATGGATGCCGCTACGACATGTGAAGATGGATTTAAGGACAAAGATGGTGTTGTGTCACCATTAACAAAGTTAAATGAAAATACTTTTCAATTATCTGCAATGGCACTTTCTCTTATGAATCTTATTAAGAATAATAATAATACTACTAATGGGTAAATTTGAATGTATGATGTTAATTGTTATTACTTCATTTTAATTTGTAGTGTTTTTTTTTATAAAAATCTTTGCTTAAACTTCTGTACTAATTGAATATATATGGATTTTTACCTTAGTTTAATTTGGAAAATGCAATCAGCTAACCCTTGGTAAATTTATTTATTTATTTATTTTCCTTTGTTTTAAAGTATTGCTCCTCACACCCACCCAAGAATTAGATATTACACGTTACACTATGATATAAAATGCAATTGATCTCCCAACTATACCTGAGATAAGTTCATGTTAGAATTAATTTCGGAATTAGTTATTTCTTTTATCTTTTGTACCAAACGAGCGCTTAGATGTTAATTCCTATTTGTCAATGGTATTATGTTTGCTACTGAAAGCATTTCTTTAGGCATGTTTCAATTTTGGTGATATGAATTTCAATCAATAGTAGAGTGTCAAATTTAAAAGTAGATATAATTTATTTTTTTAAAAGTATAGACAGTGATTGACTGATCACTAATTTCTGGGCATCATACGGTTGTATTTCAATTTGTTTATCCTGTTTTGATTTGACACAAAATTTAAGAAAGTTATAAATAATACTTTTGAATCTTGTAGTAAATTTTTTTAAAGATATCTCAAATATACAGAAATGTATTTTAATTTTGTAGTCTTAAATATGTCAAAATTGAAATTAAAAGATTGTTAAAAAGGAAAAAAAAATATCCTCTTTTAAATAACTAAAAAAACAAATTGAAACGGAGAAATACAAACTTAGACTCATGAGGCTTAATTTAGGCCGCTCGAAAATAATCGCTCGTTTGTACCTATCACACATTTGCCAAAAATCGGCACATTCTAAAAATGCTTAATTATAGCTTTGGTACGTAGCTACTTAATAGAAATATTTGTAACCCTCGATAATAGCTCTTAGAAAAAAACGTTAAATGTAAAGACAATTAGGTAGATGTTTTCACTTCTAATTATTTAATAATATATACCAGCTAGTCAAATTGAAATAATAATTATAGGTGGACAAAGTTTGTAGAAAATCTTTTCACAACACACCAAATCTGAACCATATTCCGTCTTAATTAATTAAAAGGAGTATATATTAGCTTCACAACTTCAAAAAGAATGGGCACAAAATTAAATATTAAATATTAAATGTAACTATTAGCAAGTCATGATGATGATATGTGTGTAGTAATTTTCCTAACAAATTAAAGGCTCACCATATCTTCTTGACATTTAATTTGTTTATTTGCTTATGTCTACTTCCTTAGAGTTTCTCAACTAACTTTTCTTCCAATAAAATCAATCATTGGGAAAGAATCGAACTTTTACACATATATATAAGATTTTGAACGTAAGGTATCAAGACAAGCATACAGTATATATTCGAATGCACGTGGAAGGAATAAATCATATTCCGTCGATTTCAGTTTATATGAGTTAGTTTGATTTGATATTGAGTTTATGAAAAAAAATAGACTTTTGAAACTTGTGGTCTAAAATAAGTTATATATATATTTACCTGACTATAATCATTTCAGTAAGAATAAAATTATATAACATTTTAAAGTTAATTGATAGTACTAAATATAGAAACATGTCATTCTTTTTTAAACTAACTAAAAAGAAAAAGAAGTTACATAAATTGAGACAGATAAACTAGTAAAGAATCGAATAAATATATAACAAAGTTTTTACACCATTTAATACTGAAAATGCTAAAATATCTGTTTCCAAACAATATTTTCCTTAAATCTTACATTTTCAATTACCATTTTATAATTCTCTGATCTTTATTTTACCCAAAATGGACATCTCCTTGATTTTTTTTACTAACAAATAGTTAAAAAAAGAAAAGAAAAAGAAATCCTTCAAGACAAGCGGATCTGACTGCAAATTCACTGGTCGATGCAAAATTAAAGCATTAACCAATTTTAGATGATAATAAATGAGCAGATCATTAACTCGTTCAAACTTGAACAAATTAAGTTAATCATATTTTCATAAGCTAACAATATCACCCTTATACTTTCCCATACTCTATTTCTTCCCCTTCAAAACTATAAATATATATATACCCTCTAACAACAAATTAAAGGTCATGTCAATTGTCATACCAAAAACATGAAGCATCTTTCCTCTTTCTTCCTATTTCTCTCTTTATTTAACCTAACATTCTATGGCTCAACAGCCCAAAATTTAATCCAAACAACTTGCAAATCATGTTCCAAAAATGAATCAAGTATTACGTATGGCTTTTGCACTTCATCTCTACAAGCTGCTCCGGCGAGTCAATGTGCTACTCTCCGTGGCCTTGGAATGATTTCTATTAGATTAATTCGATACAATGTTACTGATACGAGGTGTCACGTTAAGATGTTATTGAAGGATAAGAATTTGGATTTTTATAATAGGAGTCGCTTGAAAGTTTGTTTAGATCTTTATTCTGACGCGATCCCAACTATCAAGCTTGCTATGAAGAGTTACAATATGAAGAAATATTATGATGCGAATATACAAATAAGTGCAATTATAGCTACCGCTACGACATGTGAAGATGGATTTAAGGAGAAAGAAGGTGCTGTGTCACCGTTAACTAAGAGAAATGATAATACTTTTCAATTATCTGCAATTGCACTTTCTGTTATGAATCTTGTTATGAATAATAATGGATAAATTGGTCGATATTGATGATCAAGTACTTGTTCGTGCATTTATTTATGTTTTTCAATAGATTAAAGGGAATTTTGTTATAAATTAATGGAATTAATTAAGACGTTAATGTCATATGTGTAATATGATCTTGGAATTACAACACTTCATATATTTTGATTGAGTTAGATCTGATGGGAACTGAAACCTTTGTTAGTTACCAATTAAAGTTGGATGTGGTGCAGTGAATGAGGTTCAGGTTTGGGTTCGAGCTGATAAGAAACAAAAACAAAATCTTTGTTAGTTAGATAAAGTAGTGGAGACTTTCTACTTCTACTTCCTACTTCCTAGCTTATTGACCTTTTCTTCCGCAACAGTAAATTTGCCCATTATTTTCGGATTCATTTTCAAATTTTTGTTATACCAAACTATACGTACTATTTGTATTATGGATTTAATTAATAAAAAAAGCCTCAAATATGTCATCGAATTTTTAGAAAAGACTTATTTATGTTGTCCGTGAAAAGTTTGGCTCATCTATATTATCGTTGTTAAAGAAAACGCTCATCCATGCCATTTTCTTAAACTTCGGTTTTGCAAAACCATTTTTTACACCTCAAACAAGTTTTAACACTTTTCAATGACATAATACATAAATGTGTCATTTAACTTGACTTTATTTCACATTTATGTCGTTCAACTTTGTACCGAAAATTTGAACCCTTTTGGAGCAAAAGGACCATGCTCTGCTTCTCTCTGGCTTGCCTAAGTGAAGAAAAACTGTTTCTCTTAGCATTTGATCATACTTTTTGAACGTGTCATAACTAGATCAACTAGCGATGGGAGGATTACAAACGAGATATAATATTACACGGCTTATTTTGAGCTTGAAAGAAAAATTATTACGCCACTTTACTTAAGTAATATTTTAAGATTCCTTCTTAACGTTTTTCTCAAAAAAAAAAAAAAAAAAAAACTGAATTATGAGAAGGATTGATGCCCTAGTCTAAATTTACAAGTCTTAGAAAAAAAGTTCTTCCCGAGTGGGGAGAACGAACCATGTTGGGTGGTTGAAAAACAAAAAAAGTAAATGTTGCTATCAAAAGTGAATTCCTGAATACTATTGGTCCCTCTGAAGTTAAAATTTTATTCAAATACGCAATTTAATTTTCAAAATTATTTTATATTTATTTTTATAAACATCAAAATCTCACAATTTTGAAAACTATAAAAGTTTTTCAATTCTTATCAAATGAGCAAATCATAGCACATAGTTCATAAATAAAAGATTAGAATATCCTAAGGTACTACTTAAAATTTGCAATTTCCAGATTTCCTTTATATTTAAATTCTTGTGATTACATGTTACTATAAATTTTCAAATACACAATTTTATTAAGATTTATTAATTCAAGAAAATCAATATAATGTTAATTAACTATTCTTTAATATAATTCATAGTACGAACAACTTTTTCACATTGATCATTTTTTGTGCAAAATTTAAAATTATATACGAATCTTTATTTAGTGTTATTCCTATTTCAATGTTCTTATTCTTTAGTGCTTTTGCTTTTATTTGAAATGACAATCTCCCACCCCCACCCAATCATCTTATATTCATAAGAATTAAGACAGAAAGAAAAATAAATAAGATGTCAAGGTATAAACCATAGAGAAAACGTCAAGTTCATTGGTTGTAATACTTTTGGTTAATTAATAGAATAAAAATATTCAATTTTGTCACGAGGATAAATGGCTTGATAATTTATCAAATATCACATGAATCATGATCTCTACTTTAAATAGAAAATGAGCAGCAGGTCCCCTTGATTAGTCAGAATATGGATTTATAAAGGTAAAGGTATAATTTTTTTTAAAATTCTACATATTAAATAACAGAAAAAAAAGTAACATAAAAATTGAAACAGATAATCTAATATACTATGGATAAGTATGTACAAAAATATACTTTTTAATGACAAAAGAAAAACTGGTATTGACAAAGAGTCAAAAGAGGCCTAAATTTATTTATGGCACAACCTAATTGTCAGCTGGCCTGTTCCCTTTAATTAGTCTCTCCTCAATACTTTTTCTTCTCAGCTTGTTTTTTTCCTTTTATCGATTTCGTGTTGGAGTATGTTTACGTCAAAATTACATATATTCAAGTTTGTTGCAACCCATTCAACAATAATCATATGTAAGGAGGTGGTGAGATGGATGAAAAAAATTTAATTCATCCCTCCTCATCCTGCATACTTTTTTATTGTGTATTTCAACCCCATCTCGCATAACATGTGTGCCTTCAATAAACTTGTGTAGACCTTAGCTTAGCTCTCAACGGCTTTTATCTGAGACCCTTTGGGGTGGCCCAGTGGTTTGGGCTTGGGACTTCCATGTTGGAGGTCTCAAGTTCGAAATTCCTTGCCAGCGAAAGCAAGAGGTTTGTCTTCTGCGTCGAGCTCGTCGCACCGGGCTTGCCTAGTGTGAGTTACCTCTCCTATGTGGTTTGCGAGCTATTACATAGGAGCGAGGGTTTTACCCTGTGCGCACCCAAATGATAGCAGTTGCAGATTTCCCTTGTCATAAAAAAAAACCGACTTTTACCTGTAGACACTTTAAAATACAATCTACAAATATAATGGTATCACAATTCATTGTCCTATTTCCTTCGCCATTGAAAAGCCAGCATAAAACTACTCCAAACTAGCTCAAAGAGACTATTTATCCTTCTTGTGAGATTTCGAAGTTGGAAATGCTGGGATTTGTACCACCTTTAAACCCTAAGGGGCCGTTTGGTTATGGTATAAGAGGGCATGTTCGCACGACTCTATCCTGACAGCTTCAAACTAACAATGGTGTCAGTTTAAACATTAAAAAAAAACACAGAATTCAAGTATAGAGAAAACTCCTTTCTTTATTTTTTCAAGGGAGAATTTATACTATTTGCTTACTTATTTTATTTGTAAATAATATATATTAATTTGTATCAAATTCAATATTCAATAGATTTTCATGTAATGTAATCTTTACATAACTAATACTTGCATAACTCTAACCAGTAACCAAACGGCCCTAAATAATTATAGTGAAGCAAGAGCAAGTGATTAATCATTCTACGACAGTAGATAATCCATTTTATTTAGCACCTTTGGGAGATGATCTTTGAAAGAAAACACAATCATCTCTAACCATATAGAGATAGTGACAGAGGTCTAATCCACTCCAATTCTTCAAGTATTATTGCAAGGGATGACTTACACTCATAATAAGCTGGAGAAATTTCAGAGTTAACAACATTGAGCATCATCTTTACCTGGATAGATTCTTTGAATCAGTGCAATGGAAGCAAGCTTGTCATTTTGTGGCATGTAAAAAATAAAATATTTTAAAGAGGAAAGACAGCAACGAGATGAACACTTAAGTTCATGTTTTCAAGAAAAGCAACAAAGGATGATATGTTCTTTAACTGAAAAGCTTCCGCGACTTGTCTTTATAAGAGTCTGATTATTGCCTCTCCAAAACCCAAAGAGGATCACAGAATTCTACAACCTTGAACTAGTCAAATGACAAGGGGCAAGTGTACCTTCGATTTTGATGAACAAATTCAAACTAACAATGGTGTACCGAGTTTAACTTGACATTGGATGATTATAAACATACTCAATAGCCTGTTCGCACGACTCTATCCTGACAGCTTCCTTGTCTGGAATCTCCAGTTTGAACTCTTCCTCCAGAGCCATTACAATCTCTACCGTATCTAAGCTGTCTAAGCCCAAATCCTTCTCAAAGTGGACTTCAGGGGTCACCTGTATGAAAGATTACCGTTAACCATAAAGCACATAATGACTGCCTGCATAATGAATGGCTATCCACTTACTTTTTCAAGCTTAAATTGCTTTACCTCAGGCTTATGTACTGTCCAAACAAAGGAAAGATGGAAAAACATAATTGCATTTGACATATCATCAAATCAATTGAGTCAAACAATCGCCACCAACATAATATATCAACAATGTTATCTCTTCTGATAACTGTTTCTGTGACAACACCAACTAGCGATAGAGAAAGAGATGCAGTTTTGTTTTTGGGAGAGATGGGGGTGGATTTCACTATAATCAAATTCTCAAACTACATTCTGATTGACTCAGTTGTCTTCTGGCACATCACTTTCTCTTTTTTAACAAGAAGAAGAAATTACATCATCCTACTCTCTTTATCTACTCCAAAAGCCTGCAGGTAAACCTAACTATTTTGTGTAATCCATCATCACACTGAAAGGATGGTACAAGAAGAACTGCAAACACCTAAGTGAAACACCTGTTGGCACATACTTAAGAAGTCCACGGCAATTCATACTGTAGTAAACATGTCAAATTTGTGTCGTAGAAGCAAGTTCTTTCCAGAAAGGATGCATTCCCTTAGTAAATTGCTATTTGTTCTCTCTTTTCTACAGGCTATACTCCATCAATCTTAAGCAATTATTTCATGAATACTCGTTAAAGTTCCCAGACCTATGAAATCCAAAATATATACAAAAAATGTCATACTAATATTTAGGATCTAGCACCTCTAGGGTAAGACACTATGCCCAATACTAGCTGGATTCTTATGCAGACCAAGTAACTTATAACAGTGATTAGGATATTAATGTGTCAAAGTTGATGTTCTTTTGGAGTTTTGGTAACAGGAAAAAAAACCTTATCTATTCTTTTTAGCTTAGAATATGAAGAAAATATATGGTAATAGTTTGGTTTTTCTACTTTTGTCTTACAAAAAGAAGACCCTTCTACCGAGAGAGAGAGAGAGAGATAGAGAGAGAAGTCATTTGTATTGAAGCTGCACATTTGCCGCACTTCTCCACTCTCACCCCTACATTACCAATCTGCCAAACCCATCCCTTGCACTCCCATGACTCCCTCTCATTTCTTTTATCTCACCAAAGATCAGTCACACGATGATGAATTGATGATGAAAAAGGTTTATAGCTTCTCACCACATAGATCACATTAGCAAACTCTTTATCCCAGTCATGTAGCTCTAAAGATACTAAATCTTGAATTCTTTTAAGGGGACTTCGAAACGGTTATGGAGATCAGAGATGCAAAAGCAAAAAGTCATCAAAAGGTAAGTCGTATTCTGTTAAGTTCAAGAACCATACAACGGCATCTGCATAGCCTCCCTTTAGAACAGCTGAACAAGATATATGCATTATCACTGACAAACACTCAACAGGACTACAAAAATAGCTGCCAAACCCAGGGTGCAATTCTACAGAACCAACTTGACATTGTTCATCATGTGAGGGCGAAATGATGGCCAGCAACAGCATTTTCCAGTAAGTAGCAAGCTCAACAAACCCGCAAAGAAAGCAGTAGAATAAATTTTGATATCATGCCATTGAGGCATAAGTGCCTGCTGAAACATTCCTGGACCTTATTTGGAGTCCTTGACATACACTTACCACCCAATACATCTTGCAATAGAACTCTAAAAGCATCTTATTCATTTTTCAGATTAATATTTCCTAATGGAAACAAACTTCAATGAACAAAATTATAGTCCATTGTGACCCAAAATATTTCCTGTTCTCTACAGCTTGTTCCCAAATTTAATCTTAAACATACTAAACAAAAGCTTCTGTGTGGAAGCTTTCCTGGTTGGTGATACTATGAAATTTATGTGCATCCTCTATTCTAAATTCTACCTTTTTTAAGTTATAAACCTAAATTCCCCTTGTTTTCGTTCATTAAACCAATTAATTGACGTATCTTAAAAATGAATGGGCAGCGAAAGGTCTCATAACCTAACACTTCAAAGCAAGGACCATCTAATAGGTAGATGAGTTCTCTTCTACAGAATCAAATTACACTAAGTTCGATTGGAATTCATGAAAAGTAAATAATCATTAAGTTTAAGTTCAGAACAGAGCATTCAGTAAGTGAGAAATTTCTCGGTTACTTGTTTTCCAGTCTTAAAGTCGCCTAGAGCTACGACTAACATTTGACATCCATCCTTACAAGAAACTGGAAAAATAAGATAAAGGATCAACTTCTAGTTCCATTCTCAATCTGCTCAGACAAAGATCACACAATTAATCTTTTTGAGCGACAATGTAACACTATAATTGCAATGGACACCAATATTTTCTTTTAATATTCTCCTTTTACTCTTGTGCTGTGTTAGAAGACAATAGCTATATAATTTGATAAATATGACAGTGTTGAATCATATAGGTAACCCGATTACCTTTGTATTGATGTTGTTGTTATAATCATAAGCCAATACCTATATAATCTTCCTTTTTTGGCGTTAAATAGATAACCATACCATTTGATAACACGAAATATATATCACTTGTTTCATGTTCAGGAAATAGATACCCATATCATTTTGAAAAACATATACATATTCTCACGGATTCTCGAAGCTCAAAAAGAAGCCTATAACTAAACGAAACCCTAAATACCAATAAATTTACCAGTGAAAATCATATATGTCCAACCAGGGCTGAGAACCTATCGGCCAAGTAACTAGACCAATAAGCAGCTATCTACGATGCAAATAGACCATTGATTGAACTTGCAGACGGATTTTTCAGATCTAATTCGATTCGTCAAATGTGTATATAAAACAAATCAAAATAAAAGAGAGAAAAAAAGACCTTGGAAGGGTCGACTTTAGGGAAACACTTGACGACATCAAGGACTCTCTTGATGACTTCATCTTTGGTGATATGGTCATCGTGCGACGACATCAATCTGACAGCGGTTAGCCTCGATCCATTTGCCGATAAAGCATGGGTTGCCGGAATCCGGATGTGTCGGAGTATAGCAGATCTCAACGCCGACGCCATTGTTGTTCTCGTATTCTTTGTTGTCCCTCTTCTGTTTAGCTTTGTTGCGACTGGAAAAAAAGTGTTGAATTAGACTGAGGTTTTGGGATTAATTTGGTAGTATTTTACATCGTGATCCCTTGGACCGGAACAGTGAGCCCCGGTTCACAAGTACTTACTGAAAAGATTTGGTTTTGCCTATGTTTGACTTGGTAAAAAAAAAGAACTTTATTTTAGTGATTTAAACTAAGCTCTACATATTTGTGTAGTTGATCAAGAAAGAATTTTAAAGTTAAAATATTATTAATTATAGAAAAATAATTTCTTTTAAAATAAATTAATAAGAAAATATGTCACAGAATAGAAGAATTAATATTTTACCAATTTACATTTTAAGAGGATTAAAGATTTCAACTTCTCTCTTTGTGATTTTTTTTTTTGTTTCAATCTTCAAAATTATATTTTTATATATAAATGATATTTTTATTTTTCTGAAAGGTAATAATATGTTTGTAATTTATCGAAAAATGAAATTCATTTTACAGTTTTGAATAATTGTACTTTTTGGATTGTTCCTTTATTGTTGATAATATGTGTTATTTTTTTAACACTTCTATTATTTTTCTTTCGATCTAATTGAATATTTATCATAGAAAAGTTGCACAAAAGCTATTTATTTCTCCAATTTACATTTTAAGAGGATTAGAGTTTTCAACTTCTCTCTTTGTGATTTTTTTTGTTTCAATCTTCAAAATTATATTTTTATATATAAATGATATTTTTGTTTTTTCTGAAAGGTAATAATATGCTTGTAATTTATCGAAAAATGAAATTCATTTTATGGTTTAGAATAATTGTACTTTTTGGATTTGTTCCTATTGTTGATAATATGTGTTATTTTTTTAACACTTCTAATATTTTTCTTTCGATCTAGCTAAATATTTATCATAGAAAAGTTGCACAAAAGCTATTTATTTCTAAAGAGTTAGAAAAACTGGGGACAATCTTTTAAAAAATACACTTGTATTTTGAAAAAAATAAAAAAATAAATCTGATTTTTTATATTATATGTTTTCTACATTATGTTTCACATGCTCACTTAAATAGTTTTGAAATGCAATCTCTTTTATAAAAAAATATTCCATTGTAAAGGGTAAGAAAGGGTGACCATGAAAATCGAAGCCAAATCTACTGGAGATTTTCAAGTTCCAACGATATCACTAAAGTATAAGTCTTGGTGGAACTAAATCTTTGATCACATAGATATTTGAATGCATATTTTATCTCTCTATATATATTTTAGATATTTAGCTTTTTTATTAATATTTGTGTTTGTTTTCATGTAATTAGCGTTTTAAAGTATATTAGCTCTGTTTTTATTCATACATTAACTAAACACAAATTTAAGAAAAACATAGATTTTAAAAATTTATAATATAAGTGATAAAAAAAACTCTCATCTCTCTCTCGGCACAAGTTAAGTATTGTTTAACCTAGGAATTCTCTAGCTATAGGAAGTGGAGGTTGAGAAGAACATCACTAAGACACTACAAGTTGAGTTGAAACTATGAGGATTTAATTCGGTAGCTAAAGGCAAGGGGCAAGGATAACTTGAAGGAGAAGCACTACAAAGGAGATAGATAGTTTCAAACGATGACGAGGGATGACCAAATCTGTAGGCTAGCAAGCTAATTCAGGGAATTCCAACGGTCATTATATCAGAAAAATCAATAGAGATTGACACTGCATCTTATGTGATGTCTACAGGAGTATATTGAACGAAAATAAATAAAACATAAATTGCCCATAAATAAAAAAAAAGGGAAAAGGGCTTGATATACCCCTCAACTTTGTCATTTGGAGCTGATATGCCCCTCGTTATGAAAGTGACTCATATATACCCTTACCGTTATACAAACGGCTCACATATACCTCTACCGTTACAAAATGAGCTCACATATACCCTTCATTTAACGGAAGTGAAAAAGTTAGTTTTTAAATTTATATTTTTGACTTTTAATTTTCTTAAAAATTATTTAGGGGTATATATGATTCTTCTAGCAAAGTTCAAGGTATATTTTAATCTTTTTAATACATAGATTATTTTTTGACTTCTTTTATTATAATTATTTGAGTTTCTTATTCTTATTTTATTTTTTTCTTTCATTCCTTAGTGTAAAGAAAAAAATTTAAAACTATTTTTTTGTGGCTATATTATAATTTAAAACTATTGTTTTTTTTTGTCTATACTGTAATTTAATTTTTGTATTTGAAGAAAAAAATTTGGTCATCTATAATAAGTTTTACAAGAATATTAGTGAAACATAAATAAATTTGACCATCAAAATAATAAATCTAAATTAGTCATTGAAAAAAAAATGTTAAAAAAAAAAAAATGTTTGAGGAGGATTAAATATACTCATATGGAATTATATTTATTTTTTTAAATAATAAAAAACTAACCTGAAATTAATTTTTTTTCATTTTCGTTAGGGGAAAAGGGTATATGTGAGCCATTTATATATAAGTAGGGGTATATATGAGCCACTTTCATAACGAGGGGTATATCAGCTCTAAATGACAAAGTTGAGGGGTATACCAGACCCTTTTCCCATAAAAAAAATATAAATTAAGCGAAAATAAGTCAAGAAAAATGGAGTTAATAAATAAAATATAAATTAAACGAAAATAAGTCAAGAAAAAATGAGTCGCTAGAAAAAGGATAGTATGGATGTGTATAATAGGATAATTGAATTGTATAGAAAAAATTATAGTCAAGGGAAATATTAATTGGGATGAAAATATATTCAAGTAAAAGTCATTTAAGATAATAAGAGTGAGAATATAAAAGTTATCATCTAAAATAAATATATATGCCAGAAAAAATAAAAAATAACTATAGGGTAAATATGATTTTTTTTTTAAAGAAAAAAAAAGTACAAAATTTATAAAAGAAGAACATGAATACACCAAAAAGGAATTTTTTAAAAAATTTATGAGAGCCAGCAAATCACCACAATGCAACCATGTTACTGAAGACAGACTCCGTGTTTCGCCAAACCTCTTCAAAAACACTACTCACGCGCACCGCACCCGCCCAATACACACACTCTCCCCTCTCCGTTTCTCGCTAAAAGCCCACGAATCCACACTCCCCTTTGCTTTCTCCGTGATCATTTTCCGGCGAGATCCCTGGTACTCCGTCGGAAAATCCTGATCGGATCCACCATCACTTTTTTTTACTGGATTCACTTTCTCATACCAAAAGATCCAATTAGATGGCTCCGGTTTCGGCTCTCGCAAAGTACAAGCTCGTTTTCTTAGGAGATCAATCCGTCGGCAAGACCAGTATTATCACGCGATTCATGTATGATAAATTCGATAACACCTATCAGGTATACACACTTTTGCTAATTCATTATTCATGTGATTCGTTAACCTTTTGTTTCTGCGGATCTGTTTCTCAATTAACATTTGTCGTCTTCTTGTTGTAAGCATATTTAATTTTGCTACATAAGGACTTATTACTCATTTTTCAAGATCTTTTATCTGTAAAGCACAGTTATTGGCACTTGTATGTATAATTTGCTCGTACTGAGGGAAGGTGTTTGCAGCAATGCATTGTTGCTCATATTATTTGCTTATAGTGTAATACAGATTTTAAGTCATCATAGGTCAGTTTTCTGTTTGCGGAATTTTGATTTAGATTGCTCTCTGGAAGTTGGTTGCCTTAATAACCGATAAGTGTTAACACATCTAATGTGATGTAATGACGCTTTTATTATACAATTCAGCAGAGGGATAGAGAAATGGGCATACGTTGTAGCTTATCATCCTGTATTTCCTCACTCTCTAATAACCCGAAATGCTGCTTGTCCTCTTCCTTGCGCATTATTGACGAGAATCCACAGGACCTTATGGGGAGTGTTATGTATGTAAAATGAGTTACATCAAATAATGCTTGAAAATTTCCCTCTCCATAGGGATTAGTCTCACGAAAATACTGTTAGAATATATTCTCTTATCCATCTTGTGGATCCTTAAACCTTCCAACTTATCGTTTCTCCTCTTCTCTCGACAAACTATATATCTGAACTTAATGCTTTAAGTTGTGCCTACATTGATCCAGATTTTTTCTTATAGATTCTCAACTTTTTTTCTCCTTTTTTTTGTGGTTGAACGGGGTCTTTCCTTCTTTTACTATGACTGAGTGTTTTGTTTGGTCTGACAGTAACATTCTTCTTCTTTCAAATATTTCCTGGAATCCTATCACACTCTTAACCTTGGCAGTAAATAAATGACTTGCTTTATCTTTTTTTGTGATTTGCTGACTTTTAGACAATCATTTCATCAAGCCTCAGTTCCCATTCCTTGATGGAATAGGGTTCTTATGTGTCTTTTTTATTGTGAAACTGCATGTAATCTAGACTTTCTAGCCCTTGCTTCCCCTCTTCTAGTAAAGTATTTCCATTTCAACTAACAACTCTCTCTTCTTGTTCAAATTTTAGCCGTTTTACTTTTTCATTTATTCAAATAGAAGACACACTATCAAGCATCCTCATTTTATTTAATTTCTTGTTCAGGCCACAATTGGTATTGACTTCCTGTCGAAGACTATGTACCTGGAAGATCGTACAGTAAGATTGCAGCTATGGTAAGATGTACTTGTTGATGAGACAATGCCTTCTCATTGATCTCTGATCATAAAGACTGTTTTAACATTCTTAACACGTTACATTTGTGCCATGTTGTTAAGGAGTAACAACATCAATCTATTTGAGTAACACAAGTAACAGTACAATGTGATGTCTTGTGTTACTCTATTTCATGAAAATGAAAAAGTGATGCAGCTATCCTTGATTATGGGTGTTAACATATATCAGGATGGCAATTGGTCAGTTAAAGTTTCTTGCTAAAATAGATTTCTTAGTGGATGCTTCAGATATAATTGCTCTTGCTTCAGTGTTCTGTAGGAAAAATAAGGGGATAGATTTTTTTTCTTTTCTTATATAGCCTTATAATGATAGGTTCTGTTTCTCCCTTATGCCTCCCAATTGGATTTATAGTAACTATCGAACTTCTAGCCATACTATGAAAATGCCCTGGCCTGACAAAAACATTCTTCTCAAACCAGTTCATAGTAATAAGATTTTCTTTTGTTTTCACTTATTAGGAAAACATTTCACTGTTGCCTGGCTTCTTGTTTGCTCATTTGATGCTGGATTTAGTATTCATTTCGCATTTTCATGTGCGCTAAAATTTTCCTTTTCGTGATACACTTTCAGGGATACTGCAGGTCAAGAGAGATTTAGGAGTCTCATTCCCAGCTACATTAGGGACTCCTCTGTTGCTGTCATTGTGTATGATGTTGCAAGTATGTCACATTTCAATTTTGTGCAGTTTTTTTCTGTTCATACTTGATTTCCCGTTTATCCTTGCTTCTGGCTATAGTTGCTTGGAAATGAATTACTTGGACGAGATATCCCTTGCTGAAGTGACACACTGTTTTTTTTTTCTTGATGGTTCCAGGCAGGCAGTCCTTTTTAAACACTTCAAAGTGGATTGAGGAGGTTCGAACTGAGAGGGGCAGTGATGTTATTATTGTCCTTGTTGGTAACAAAACTGATCTTGTTGAGAAAAGGTAGCTGTAACTTGTTCATTCTCGTTTTCCTTCTCCTTTTTGGAGGGCGTGAGGGTGAGAGAGGCTTTCTTTTTTGATGTTTTAGGCTTTAGCAACTTTTCGGCTAAATACCAGAACATTTACTCCTGAAGGGGCTAAAAACACAACAAATATTAGAGCAATGTCATCAAAAGCAAATCATGAAAAAAGTTATATCTGTTGGAGCTTAAGTGCAAATAAAACGAGGCTTTAACGAAGAAGGATGCAAATGAAGAAAAAACTATAAATACATATCTTATTTAGGATAATACCTGTAGGCACAAAATGCTGATATATTAGTGGCGGAGCCAGAAATTTCAGGAAGAGTGTCCAGGATTTTTTTGGACAAATGAGTGTACTAAAATTTTTAAAATGTGAAAAAAAGAATTGTTGCTATCGAAATTTGAACACATGAACACTTAAAATTCGCGTGTCTTGGCTCTTTCAAGGCGCCTGAAACCACTAGGCTACAACATTTGTTGTGTTAGGAGTGTCCAGAATACGTTATTTAACCACTTCGTTTATAATTTTACTTGTATATATGGTATAATTTTCCGACGTAGAATTGGACACCTTGACAAGAGTGTAGCTCCACCCTTGTGATATATGACAAAGTAATAAAAATAAATACATATTAAGTGATGTAGTTCTTTTTTGTTTGTGGTGCCCTCTTCAAGGTAGAGCCTATAGGTGATGAGACGGACTCCTTAGCTCTTTGATGCTTGAATTGAAGTGTCAGCCGAGCGACGCGACTCGCTCAGCCTGTTTGTCCATAGCTTTAAAGTTTGAAGGTACCTCAAGCAAGCTTTGACAATTTGTATAAGAAGTTTGATAAATGTGTGAGGGGAGGAATTTAAAGGGTTTAAATGACTAGTTTTTGGTTGTAGATTCTAGGTATCAAGAGGTTTGAAGCAGTTTGTCTATTCTAGATATTTAGGATGTAATGCAAGCATCTAAGTTAGATAATGTCATGGCCAGCTTCAAATTGTAGCGTCTTAAGGTTGTAATTCTTGTACAGTAACACGTGCGCTTGAAGTTCTTGGTCATCAAGCCAAGGGAAGAAAACCCCTCTTATATCTGCAGGAAACTTGAAGATATCTTATTATTGCATAACCCATAGCGTAGTTGAATGCAACAATCGCGTGTTCATTTTGGTTGGATATTCATTTTTTCCCCCTTAAAACTACAGCTATCTATATAGGAATTGACATTGTGGAACAGGAAAACTTAGGGTCTTGATATTTCTTTGGTCAGAGAACTAGCAAAGTAAATATCCAGAAATGAGCTATGATTTCCTTTTATAAATGTTTTTGTTCTCAGTTAATTTGTAAATACTTGAAACTTGTGTAATATAGCGACTGAACTGACTTGCTAGTTTTTGTTGTACTTGTCTATATGTTGTTGTATGAGTTCTATCAACACTTATCCTTTAATAGTAATATAGATTTAGTTTATTGAGCTATATCGGGAACTAGGAATCTTTTGACTAAGCTGGAGTGGGAAATTGTTAGGGCAGGTGAGGTTCTTATTTTCCACTAGCTCTGGATCTTATTCAGGGATTAGTAATTGGGTTGCCTGTTGGTCTGGTTGAAGTAGATGTCTTTGTGCAACCATATGCGGATTTACAAGAAAGTGTTAAAAGGTCCTGGTTTTTACCATTGACCGCAGATGTGAGCTGACAGTTGTGTGGTTATGTGACTAGCTACCTGTATAGGTGCTTTTGGATCCGTCCTTAATGAGTTTGTTTAATAATTGTTAGTTAATGATCATTCAGTATATACGTACTATATTTCACCTTATAATTGTTGGGTAGGAATAGTTTTAGCATTATCTGATCTAAATAGAAACTTCCTTAGCAGAGCCTAAGTAAATCACTGGGGCCCAAGTGCAAGGATTCTTGACCTTTCTCACTTATCTTGTTCTGTAAAAGAGGAAATCTGCATTTTCTCATGGAGTGAAAGTAATTGTCACTTTTTTTATGTTCTTCAAATTCCATTATTTGTGGAAGAAAAAGTAGACAGATTTTGAGAATTTCTGATGGTCCATTATGTTGAAGCTGCATCTGGATTTACATAAAAAGCTTAGGGAATTGTGTGGGGTACACCTTTTTTTTTTGCTGCGAGCAAAGAGTAGTCTGTGGCTTTGAGCCCCAGGAATGATTACATATTAGTGAGCTTGATGTTTTGCTGTCTACAACTGGAGTATTGTGTTCTTATGAGTAGTCTTATTATTGCTATATGTAGAACAGGATTCTCATGCACTCTTTTATCCTGTGGCGAATTGCAGGCAAGTTTCAATTGAGGAAGGAGAAGCGAAAGCTCGCGAACTAAATGTGATGTTTATTGAAACCAGTGCAAAAGCTGGCTTCAATATTAAAGTAAGTAATATTAGCTTCTTACTTTGCTTAAATAAAATGTGAAAATGTGTTATCTTTTCGTATGGAAGATAACAATATGCATCATTTGTGCATTTATGCTAAGAAAATCAGTGCATTGATGTTATTTTTCTCAACTGCTTGTTCTTTCATCCACTTGCTGTTTTGTTGCTGATAGTGCATATTCAACTTTTGCAGCCTCTTTTTAGGAAAATTGCAGCAGCATTGCCAGGAATGGAGACACTATCTTCAGCTAAGCAAGAAGACATGGTTGATGTCAATCTCAAGTCAAGCAACTCAAGTGCATCCCAATCACAGGCACAATCAGGAGGATGTGCTTGTTAATTTTATGGTTTGCTGCAACTCTATAGTTTTCGACTCAGTTTTATATTTTGTTTTTGACAACAAAGTATTATCTGTAAAGTTCTTTGTTGACTTTCGTAAAATTTGAATTTTTTGTTTTTGTTTTTGGTGTTTGTTAAAGTTGGACACAGAGGTTGTCATCCTAGTTGAGTAAGACTTAGTATGTTTTCACTTATTTGTATCAGTCTCTAGACCTATGCAATTTAGCAGCCCCCTTATGGAACAAGTCTATGTTATCAGCTGATTCATTGCAGTTTTGTAATCAGAAATTTTTGGTTGGACGTTCTTGAGTGAGTAATGGTTGATCGCATTGAAACTTTATTTGTGCCTTATATGCAATTTTTCCTCTTCCACAAATTAGTAGAGCCAAATTTTACACTTCTGGTTCCACAAAGTTTGGCTCTGCCAAATTATTTATTGGTTCATACAAAATTCTAACCTGACCCATTCATAACCCAATCCATTACAAAACCCGTTTAAAATTAATACAACTAGGTGATAAAATCCATTTTTTCACTTGCCGATTTCAATTAATTTGTGTACCAATATAGCACAGGAGTTCAAACCTAGACCTCAGACCAATAAATCATGACAGCAGAAACGATAAACATGAGAATTTTTTTACAAATCTGTCACTGTTTTGTTCGTCTGTGTTTATTTTAAGCATTCATATTCTCACCACTATATTTGTATCAATACCTTATTCCAATTCGTTTCTCCCTGATTCATGTTGTTTAAGAGTTGATAATTATTTTATATTTTTGAAAAAAAGTGAAAGTTGAGGGTAAATTTGATCAAATAGATGGAAAGAGAATATTCTTTATTCAAATAATTTTGAACTATTTCTAATAAGTTACTCCTTCTGTCTCATATTAGTTGATCATTATACTAAAAATAGTAGTCTCATATTAGTTGTCCACTTTACTAATTCAAGAAAGCATTAATTAAACATTTTCTATATTACCCTTGCAATTAATTCTTTTTGAAAGTGTTCGCATTTATTTGTAAAATTACCAAGATATTTTTCAAGAGGTGAATTAATAAAATTATCTTCTTATTTATGATTTTTTAAGCACCGTGCTTTTCACTCTCAATTAAGGCTCTTTTGGGTGGGAAATTTCACAAAATATACTCAACGAATCCTTGGCTTCTCGTATAAGAAGAGAAAAAATTAACAAACTTTCTTGCACTTTTGATCTTTTCCCCTTTAGATGGTGAATCTAAACCATATTTATTCAATCCCATCAAAAAGTACTCCACTAATAACTTTCCATAAATATCAATTTATATGAATTTTTTTCTTTCAAATGTGTTTGTGCAACAAAATTTCTCAAAATATACTGCAACCATAAAACAAATAAAAAAATATAATTTTATTTATTAAGATTGTGGGTTTACAAATTTTAGTAACATATTTCTTGAACTAGGGTGATATGACCTCATGGATCTTCTTGAAATTTTTTGGTTGTTCGAAGTTTGGGGCGTATTCAGGATGAATAAATTAAAATGCCAAAAGTGCTATCAATAACTACTTAGAGAGGTGTTACCTAATTTTAGAAAGAAAAATAAAACAAGATAAATAAAAAATTCAAATTTCTAATCTCACGTAGAGAGAGGTGCATCACGTCATCATCGCTTTATATGATACTTCGAGTGTGGATTCACACGTTAATTTCAATAATTTTTTAAAATTATAACACTACTATATATGATTTCGAGAGGGAAGCATGAGTTCACGCGATATCCCCTTTGAATACGCTTCTGAGTCTCTCTTTGTGATTATTTCACGAACAAATATTTGAAGTTTGTTCTAAATCATAAACTTAAACAAGTTTTACTTTATTTCTTTTTTAAAAATTTATGCTTAATTAAATGATGTCATGTAGATGTACAAAATCTATCATCTTTTCATTTATATTCCTCACGGGTCTCTCTAATAATTCCCCCACGTGTCCCCTCCCCATTGGTCCATACCCAGCCACCCTCAATTTCACTGTCTCTTACTACTTTCTTTATCATTCATGCTCATCATCTCATGACCTTTCGAAATATGCCTTCAATTTGCAACGTTCCTTTATTTATTTTTTATTTTTATGTTCGATATCTATATTGAGACTCCGTTAATTTAATATGTATGTTTTTTTCCCTGCTTTCGTCTAAAGCTCTCTCCTTTAAATTTGGATTCAGTTTATTATATTAATAATTTCATTGAAGTTCCGTTCTTCTCTCTAACTTGAGGCTTCTGTAGCCGCTTGACCAACTTTTCCCCTTTTCCACCATGGCAGGTCCTCTCTTTCTCCCCCTTTTTACATAACTAGATGTGATATTCTTATTCATTCTTTTGTGGGTTTTCGTTTATTTATGGTCAATGGGTTATTTCAATTCGAAAAATGGATTCTTGGGGTTTCTATGACATCATTTTCTGTTTTCTGTCTGATCACTTTGTTCTTGAGTTATTACGCATTGTGGGTTTTGTTATATGATAAGGGGATCGATTGTATTCATTTTGGATTTGATTTGATTTTTGTTTCTCTAATTATGAATAAAGAATTGATTTCCAGTGAAGCTCTCCATAATTTGAGGAAAAAATGTGATTTTTTCTTGGTCAAACAATAAATTTAGAAGGAAGAATGATAAAGTGGAAAGGTCTTTTTGTTTACCTTTTGTTTAGTATGTGTTTAAAAGTTGAAATATTTTCAGCTCTAAGCTATTGCTGAATCATATACTTAAAGAATCATAATTTATCTGAAGTAAAAGTCATTTTTTTTGTGAGTGTATTGCAGTTTGCTCTAGGGTGTTTTAACGCCAATGAAATTGATCCATATTAGGCCATAGAGTCCTCCCTCACATCTTTAGTACACCTAAGGAATTTTAAGAAACAAACTTTCTACCTCCTCGAGGCATTGGTAAGTTCTGCATACACTCTACCCTCCCCAAGTCCCGCTTTTGGAACTATATATTGGGTTGTTGTTGTTGTAAGAAGTATTAAGAAAAGGTTGGATTGTTTCTGTTTGGTAACGACGCATAGTAGTAGTAGTTGTTGTTGTTCTTGGATTACTTCCCAATAGTTTCCATCAATAACTGTTTGTGCTTGTTAAAAGAATCTTTTTACACAAAGTAAGTATAAATTTGAGGCATGTAGATAATGAGATATATAGGGATGGTAATGGGGCGGGGCGGGTTATAGTATTTGCGGGGCAGGAGATAAAGCGGGGGCGGGGCGGGTTAGCAAGTTAGGGTTTGATATTGATTATTCACTAATGGAATGGTTCTTCAAATACAAAGCGGGAGAAACCCCATTACTCTCTTTCCTTCCCCCCCCCCCATGTCGCCACACGGGTACATAGGGATGTAAAAAAGGGGGTCCAATCAACTTGTTCCGACCTAGGATAATAAGCTCATGAGCTTGGTCTTACTTCACTGTCGAGAAAGGAAAGAAGACTTCCATCTCCAAGTTTAACTCTCAGACGTAGCTACTGTTTTTTTTTTTTGGGTGTGAAGCAATGTCAAACCAAAATACCCAACAAGCATTAGATCTCCCTGAAAAGGAGGTGATCCAGCCTCGCTGATATTCAACAAACTGAATGATTTATTACCCACCCTATGATAGTCAAGATCACTGGAGACAAGAAAATGTCCAGAAGAGTTTCAGACGTTTGTTGCATATGTTAATTAAGAAATTAACCTCAAACTAAATTGTTGTTTATAATAATGAATGACAAGATGATTTGAAACTTATATAGGCCAAAGTTATTCTTTATTCTAATGAAGAATTGATACGATTAGAAGCAGCAAAAATATTGGAGGTTCATGTGGGGCGGGTTCATGCGGGGCGGAGCGGGATGGGGCAGGGAAAAAACAAAACAATTATGCTATGGGGGAAGGGGTGGGGAAAGTCTTTGCGGGTTTATGCGATTTTCCCTGCACCCTCCCCGCCCCACCCCTTTTGCCATCCCTAGAGATAATTTAGAGGAGGCAGGACAAGTGATCACTTGTAATCAATCTATCTATAACCTCTGTTGTGTTATGTCGTTGATAATTTGATTGGTTGTGTTCTTTATGTGTTGATACCATACTCATTATGTCCATGGTTGTTGTTATAACATCAGATAATCAGCAACCTATTTTGCAAAAAGATGATGCACAGCATCCGCTGGCAAAGCTAAACCGTCTGCACTTTTGGCTTCTGGTGGCGCTCAACATTGTTTTCCTTCTCGTTGGTCAAGCTGCTGCTGTAATTTTGGGAAGATTTTACTATGAGAAGGGTGGAAATAGTAAATGGATGGCCACTGTTGTCCAGACAGCTGCTTTTCCTCTTCTTTTCATTCCTTACCTATTCATTTCTTCTCCTCAAACTCATTCAGAAGCCTCCAATCGACCTTCAATCATCACAGTTAGTGTGGTCTATTTCGTTATTGGTGTACTGGTTGCAGGAGATAACATGCTCTATTCAATCGGTCTATTGTATCTCTCCGCTTCTACGTATTCCCTTATTTGTGCAACACAATTGGTTTTCAGTGCAGTTCTTTCTTACTTCCTAAACCATCAAAAATTCACAGCACTGATCATGAATTCTGTTGTTGTGCTCTCGTTATCTGCCTCTCTTCTTGCTGTTAATGAAGATTCTGATAAGCCTTCAGGCGTAACTAAGTCTAAGTATGTCATTGGATTTCTAGTTACTCTTGCCGCTTCTGCTATGTATGCTCTATTGCTTTCCCTTATGCAGCTTTCATTCCAAAAGGTTCTAAAGAAAGAAACGTTTTCCGTGGTTCTGGAGATGCAAATTTACACAGCAATTGTAGCGACCGCTGTCTCTACAGTGGGGCTATTTGCTAGCGGAGAATGGAAGACTTTGCATGGGGAAATGGGTAGTTTTACTGCTGGAAAACATGCATATGTGATGACTCTGGTTTGGACAGCTATAGCTTGGCAGATTTGCTCAGTTGGGGTTGTTGGTTTGGTTTTCGTGGTGTCCTCATTGTTCTCTAATGTCATTAGTACACTTTCCTTGGCGATCACTCCTATTGCTTCAGTCATGATCCTCCATGACAAGATGAACGGTGTGAAGGCAATCGCCATGCTGATGGCGATTTGGGGATTCTGTACTTACATATACCAGAATTACGTCGATGATCTTAAGGCAAAGAAAGCACCAAGCGCAGTTGATGCTACTCCAAACGAGTCAAGATCTTGCTGAAGGCTTTGTTGCCTGGTAATTATATAGGCTATAGTTCTGGAACATACAACTAAAATTCTTTTCATACTTGTTTGTAGTTAGAAATTTTGTTATATGAAGAATTTTCATTTTACAAACGCCTGTT